GGCCCTTGACACCCTACGCTGGATGGCGAATTCCAGCAAGCGATGATCACTATTGCCCAGGTGGTCAAGAACCTAGAGGCCCCTTACCAGGTCGTTGCCTGCGGCCAGGACCAGGTCCAACAGGGCACCTCCTCTGGTGGGACTGTGCACCTCCTGAATCAAGTGGAGGTCCTGCATCTCAGCCAGAAACCTCCTGGAGCGGTCCGTCCCGGCTGACCGCATGGTGTTCATGCTCCCGTATACATTTATACCAGATTAAATTGTGCTAACATCAGTAATGATATTCATTTAACTATACCTGTATTAAATCATAGCCCAAACTGACAGATTAGAAGATGCATTTAGATGAGGTCTAACCAACCTTTCCATCAATGACAGACTCTTTATCCCTGTAATGAGGTGAGTCTTGAGCTGCAGTATGCTGGAAGTTGCAGCACACTGCACACTGTTCCTAGCTAAGCCATGCAGCCAGGACTTGATGCAATACTGTTCTGTTTTTTCATACTGATTTTCTGAAGCCTAAAATAAAATTTGATGAAGCAAATTAATGAACCTCTGGATCATTAAAATTACTAGAAAGTATAGATTACAGGTAGGACCCACCACCACTAGATGGTACTGCAGAACTTTCATTTTTTTTTACCATTTAGCTAAGCCTCAAGTCACTGAATTGTCTCTCAGCATGTATAGAATAGATGTCTGGTATCCTTCTGATACCAGTGCAGAGTGATGCGCCAGGGACCCAGGCACCCGGGACAGACCCACATAACAACCCCAGACATTAGCACACCACAAGGATCATTTAGTGACCAGTGATTATTCAGTTATCTTAGAGAATCAAAAAGCATTCACGGTATCTGGAATATTAAGCCAGTATTATTTTTTATACATGCAATTTTTAAATATTAGTGTTAAATCATTATTTCTTCTATAAGATTGAATAAAGGCATAGTTTCTATTTGCTTTGATGTCTGGGCTTGGCTGTATCAAGCTTTAAGATTTTATTAAATACAATTTAAAATGTTTTAAATGTTGATTTCAAACATCTGAAATCAAAAGCTAGCATGCCAGATATAACACAAACTTTCAAAGATGTACTTTCAGTCTCAAAATAAGAAACAAATACACAATTCACCGTACAACTGACACTTTATTCCTTAGTGATGGACAAATATAATAACTGCAGCAAACAAAAATAAAAGCAAACTGTTTTCAGTTATAACAGGCTATGGAATGCATTGATGTTTTTGGCACAGAAAGTGGACAACAATTACAGTGTAATAGTTTTCCAAGTTAAAGGAATTCAACATTGTTGTGGATTAGTAAGTCATACTTGTGTTCTGCAGAACAACACAGAGTAGAACAGCGACTAACAGGATTCACATGCAACTCTAGATAAGTTACATCATACATCTTCTAAAACTGCTCTCAGAGTTCAAGTGAGGTTTCTAATATTTTGTTCACAGTCACTATATAAATAATACATTTTAACACTCTTATCTGTTCATCTCCATAATTAAGAATCAAAACAAAACAGAGAACCTTAATCAGTATCTTTCTCCAAATACTTCCATGTAAATTTTGCTTATCAGCATCAAGGCAATTCTGCCGCGACTATTTAAATACTATTTAGGATGCTGAGTAATAGCAGAAGCAGATTTTTCCATGCTTCATTTAAAAACTGCTGTAAACAATGGTGAAGACAGTTTCACTGCTCTGCATTCCACAGGACTTTTATTTTTAAAACTGAACATAGTGTTCCCTATGAGTTTTGCAGAATTTTCATGGGAATCACTGTGCTGCATATCCCTTAAAAATCCACAAAATACTTTTATACAGTGGCCTAGGTATGATACTTAAATGAGTGTATATATATGTGCAAAAGAGAAATACAAGAATGGAAGAAATCAAGTGTATTGGTATAAGACACAGAATGTAAGCATAGATTCACTGCATAAGAAGGGAGTACTAACTCAACACAATACTCGTATTCTGGTCAAAGTGGAAACGCACGTGTCCTCTGGTCTTCCTAACTCATGATAATGGAAAACAACATACTGGAAAGGGTAAAGGTTTGGCATGTGTCCTGCATCCCCTTATTTTGTACTAAGCTACTTTATTAAAACTTGGCTGAGAAATTAGACATTTTTGTGTTGGTTATTAACGATAAAAATCAGCCTGGTACATTGTGGTCTGGTGGCTGGCAAGGCAGAGTTAACAGGGGCTAGCACTCAATTAGCGCTCAGTGTTCCATTTCCTTTTCTGCTTTGGGATTTTCCTATATGAGGTCTGGCTGAAGATCTACATCAGGCATCTGAAAAATGTTCAGGGACAAGGTTGTTGGATGTACAGGATACTCATTATATGCATTTTGCATCAAAGGTGTACTTACAACTGCACTCTACAGCTGGGCAACAAAGATAAGAGTGCTAAGCAAGAACACTAAGCGGCTTACATGCCTTGCTGGCCATGTGTACTGTATCGCAAATGTACAAGCTGAAGTTGTTTTGCTTGAGCCAGGGCCACACAAGCATGCCAACAGCAGAAGAGATCTCCTCCTGACTTGAAGGAGTTCAAATTTCCCAGCTCCCGTTGGTTCCTTGTCTAAGAAAGGTACATGTATAAATAAGAGGTGTGTCCGCCCTAAGTCCTTAACTGCCCTTCATTAAGTCTCCTCTTCAAGAGGAAAGTGGAAGAAGGAGAGCACTTGCAACCTCTTCCATTGTTTTTGGGGTGAGAAGGAACACAAGAAACCACCTGACCCTGCTACAGCTGAATCCCTTCCCTTCCTCCAGTTCAAAAAACCAGAAGAGGAGTCACCTTTGTATCCTTCCAAAGATACAGCTCTGCCTGCAGACTCCCTCTTCCATCTGGAGACAAGACAGGCTTTGTCAGATTTCAGGATAGTAAAGTGGTTCCATCAGCTTGTCTCTGCTAATGTCCATACAGCAAGACAAAGATGAAATGGGGTACTTGAGAGTGAAATGCCAAGAGTAAGGAAGGGAGAACGGAAAGGGATGAAGAAGTGTCACTTACAGAAAAAATTAAACCCAGACTAAGGAAACAAGAGAGGCAGATGGGGTTAAAGGTGTGAGAAAAGAAATTAAAGGTGAGGGGGAGAGACAGCTTGGAAGAGAATCCAATTTGTAATCACGTAAGAAAGCCTCATAGGCTAGGGATAGACATTACACATAAACCAGTTTAAGTGATCAGAAATTGGTTTAAACCCGTAACAGAACAGACATTCAGTGTACATAAACCAGTTTGAAAATGCCCGAAACCAGTTTGAGATAAACGTGGTTGAATGCAGTATCAGACTTAACTGATCTGGCTCAAACCGGTTTATGCAGTGTCTGTCCCAGACCCCTTGCTGGTTTCAATTAAATCAGAGTCCCCCAGCACCCCAGCATGCTCTCCGGGCTGGGAGGAGCTCTGCTCTCTGCTCCGGTGAGCTGGGCTGGCCCCTCCCCTCTGCTCTCTAGCGGGAGCAGGGGCAGGGGGTGGCCATGGACCCTGAGGCAAGTTCCTCCCTCTGTCCCCTCTCCTCCCCTCCACTGGCAAACCCCAGGAACTGCAGCTGCTGTTTGTCAGCTCCAGCCACACCTGCATGGCTTGCCTGCCGCCAGGCAGGGACAGAGTTCATAGTTTCATAGTTTCTAAGGTCGGAAGGGACCTGAGCAGATCATCGAGTCTGACCCCCTGCCATGGCAGGAAAGAGTACTGGGGTCAAACGACCCCAGCAAGGGAGTTAATTCCTTCCTTTCTCCCCTCTCTCTCCCAGGACCCCCAGGGGTTTGGCTGAAGTCTCTGTGGCTTGGAGATTAATTCCAAAGCATGTCCCGGGGGAGGGGGCAGTGGCAGAGAGGCAAGCTAGTCCCCTGTGTGCAGATCTAAGCCCTGCACCTGTGAGCCTAGAGCTACGACCTGCAGAACCAGACTGAGAGGTGGGAAGTGTTGGCAAAGACCTGACAATTATCACATATGCTGGAGATGTAGTTACGGCAAGTTGCAGACAGCTTCACCAAAGAATGCAGAGACCTACATACCTAAACAAAGCCTTTCTGAATGCCTGGCTGTAAGGAGATACTGCCCTCAGGATTGGCAAGACTAATTCTTGTCTTCCTGTTTTACATTTTAAGTTAGACTAAGTCATGTATGATGTGTTTTACTGGGCTGTATCTTAGCTTAGGCGAGGATTGTTGCTAGTTCCCTGTTGTATGTTTTGCAAATTTCTGTGTTGAATACATGCTTGCTTCAGAGAAAGGACTTTTTCCCCATCCCCACTCCTCAGTCTAGCAGCAGCTGCCCCCACTCCCCAGGCTGGTGGCTGGCATCCTGCATGTTGTGCTAGCCCCAGCTGGTGGCTGGCCATGCCCCCTCTGCTCCAGCCTTGGAGGACATCTCTCTTCTCTCCCCTTTGACAGTGGCTGGCAGGCATGCTCTAGCAACCCCCAGCTTTTGGCCACCTGCAGGCACGTGGCTGCATTTCCTGGTTTAACAGAGAATGTCTGTCCAGTTATTAACCAGTTTAAGATGCACAGCTTAGACTAATCTGAAAAGAGTGAATCAATTCAGGCTCGGGCTTTTTGAATGTCTGTCCCTTGCCATAGTAGGTTAGCCCAATGGTCCATCTAACCAAGTGTCCTGTCTCCAACAGTGGCAAGTATTAGATGCTTTAAAGGGACAGTATATAAATGGGACATGTTGAGTAACCCTTTTATAATCTCTCTGGTAATGATATTAACCTTCTGGAGCCGAATTAATGTTATAATGTTAGATCTAGGACTTGCCTAAACCACTGTGGGTCTTGAGAAAGATGGGACTGAGCATGCCTCACTCTTGTATGTCTACTGAGGTACTCCAGAGCTGGAATTTCCTCCAAAAGGCTGCTCCAGACTTTCCCCCATAGGTGTCATGGGCCATTACTGTCCAAGATTGAGGTGGGAGTGGCAGCTGAAGGACATGGCTGTGGATGGAAAGAGCTGAGTACATGTGATGATAGGTGAGGGGATGGGTCTTTCAAGGCTGGAAGTCTTTGGTGCATATCTCTCTTTAAGTTCTAACAGAGCTTGCCTCTGATGGATCACAATTAAGAACTAAATCAGCGGTTCCCAAACTTTTCCTTATTGTATACCGCCTTCCAGACTTACCAGCTGTCTGTGTACCTCTACCAACATACATTTTATATTTTGACCCCTTAAATGCCAATTATTATTATTATAATGAAAAATAAATCTGCCATTATACAACTTCTCCAGCATACTCCCCAGAGATACTTTGCATACCCCCGCAAGGGAACAGAGACCAGGGTTTGGGAAGCCCTGGAGTAGATGAACTCAAATTCTCCTTCTGTAATAACAAACTCCTCTGAAGCATAGGAGAAAGCAAGCCTCCATTTCATTTTTATACCCTTTCAGACTGTACATGCTGGTCAAGTCTAAACCATGACACAGGGAGTGAGGAACGGGCAACAGAAAACCAGAGACACTGCAGATACACAAAAACAACACATCTGTTTAGCTGTCTTTGGGATATGAACACCTTTTCCAGAGATATTACTTCTTTGTCAGCATTCTTTTTCTTGCAGTATGTCCTGCCACCACAAGATGCAATGCACTGGGGGCACAGACACCTATTTTGGGGAGCAGCCAGACCCGATGAGCTGCTGCTCCTCTTTGGATCTACTTTAACTAGTGGTATGAGGTGCATCAATGAAGGTGTCCGTAATACTGACAGCACAGGGAAGTGTCATGATGCAAGTACCTGTCTTTCCCTCCTTCTTTCTATGTACAAAAGCATGTGGGTTTCCAAGAGAAATATACAATCACAGTGTGCATTTAATTTGAACTGTTTACTTTCTATACAGACTATGGTGGTTGAGTCTGCCTTCCGTCAGCTTCTACTGTAGCTTGGCATCTAGCCACAAGTAGCACAGGAAAGGTGAGGATAACCAGGAAGTTGATAAAATGTTCAGACTATGTTGTCAACCTCCAGAGAGTTCCCACCACTGCTTCTGTTTGGGGATTTCTCCATTCTTAGTCTGCAAGTGATTTAATGAGTTTCATGTAAACACAACTGTGTATACTTCACTTTACTGTGGTGAAGAAAGTCTGACTCAGTGGATAGACATGTTGTGGAATCTGCTATAAAACAAATATATTTATCTTAACTGAATACCACAGTAAATATTCATGCAATTTAAAAAAAAAAAAGATGGCCATTGTTCCAAGTAGAACTGTCCAAAGGACAGATTGAATACACATGCCAACCTTGCAGAAGACAATAGCTTCCCTTATTCATGAGCATAATCCAGGAATAGCTGCCCTTCAACAAATTTCACAATCTCTCTCTTTTGAATTTTGGTAGCAAGTTGTCTCTCTGATTACAGAAGATAAAAACTAGACTGAATAAAGGAAACAATGACTGTATTCCAAAAGAGGGCAGAATGTCACAAAAGTAAGTAGGGACCAAAAAAAAAAAAATTCATCTGAAGACATAAAAAATATTTCTAAATATCTTGTGTAATGCAAATATTTTGCCTACATGGGCCTCAAACATTCATAGGATGTGGTCTTATGATCACAAAGATATGGGCATCTTTAAAGGCAATCAATATATGGCACACTTACACATCTCTTCCATTCCAACCCAGTTTGAAAGAAGAATAAACACACTGGGAGTCTGAACCCCTGGGGCACATCCAGATTGGCTGATGAACTATCTTCTTTCCTGTAATTTAAACCTAGCAAATAAACACCCCCATTGAATGTTCCTGTACAAAGAGGCTTTTCCCAGGTTGCCACCTGCAGTCTGAAGTGTATTCTAGTCTTAATGCTGCACAGAAGCAGCAATGTGATACCAATCAGGATAATAAGTATAAGCAATTTCACACTATTACTGTTGTCACAGGGAAAGCATCCTTACTACACAAGAGACCAAGTTCATGAACCTATTGAATTGCCTTCATTAACTACTGATATCATGGATCTCTGAAAGCGGGGGTGGGAGGGGAGGAATAGAGAGGGGGAAGACTGAAGAAGGGTGAGAAGAGATGAACTAGAAACGAAAGGGTGGGTGGTAAAAGGTAAGACAGAAGAAAGGTTTCAAGACAGCAGAGATGCTTACACTCTCACCAATGATCATGTTCTAAAATAGTTTTCACACAGATTATATAAATTACTTAAGCTAGGGGTTAGCTATCATAATTGCCTTTTCCTAGCCCATTGGACTAATATGCTGTAGAAGTTATGTTCACCCCAGCAAAAACATACAGAAGCCTTAAATACCATCTATAAGGACATAATAAAAATACACAAAGCAAAAGGTTTGTAAACAAGGGTTAGTAGCACAGTGGTACAGTAGATTGTCAATAAAAACAATAAAAGTGTTGGTATAGATTCTTCTACCTTGCATGTACGTTATTGCCAGTTACAAGGACAGATTCTGTGAACTCATAATTCTGAAGTTTTGTTAATAAGGATACAACAACAGGTCAGTGCACCATCAACTTTCTGCAGTTCTATGTTGGATATAGGGATCAGCATGTGGTCCTTCAGCTTTTCAAAAACCTGTTTAGGAAATAAAAAGGAAGAGACTTATCCCATGTATGCATCTCTCTGTCTTTTACTCAGTTATTTACTGAATCAATGCCACAGAGACAACTGTACAAGTCTGAAGCCTTGTCACCCATCACCATTCTTGCTTTGGCCATCAAGACAACTAATAGCATAAGAGCTGCTGTGGTTCTGCTGACCCAGGGACACTATGAGGCTGTGAAGAAGCCACAACAAGAAAGAGGAAAAATCTCCAACTCTTCCCCGCTCCTTCCATTATCTCACAAGGAATTAGGTGACTCTCCCAAGCAGTCTCATTGTCTTGCTGTTTCATTAATCTTAGAAATTTCTTGCCTGAGAAGAAACAAGAAACTTTCTTTACTACTGTAATGGGGCCCTGCCCTGTTATTAGGGGTTCAGGGGAGTCTGAACAGCCCCACACCTGAGAGAACTCACTGGAGGCTGGGGAACCAGGTCCTAGGATGTGGTAAGTCCCTCAGCAAGGGAGCTGACACAGGTGTGGGGAGTGAGAGAGGGTTAGCCACGTGAGCCCAGGGTGGGAAGGATAGAAGACACTGAAAGCAGCCTCAAGAGGCTGCACCTAGCCAGGGAGCAGGCTGCCTGGAGTTACCAGGGGTTAAGTAGCCACTGGGAGAGTCCAGAGCAGGGCTTTTCTCTGTTTGCTTTGTTGCACAAACTTGCAGGCTCTGCAATGCCTCGGAAAGATAAGAGGCAACCAGAAGGTAAAGCCTGGAAGAACCACTGGGAGATAGCTAAGTGCTAGCTTACTTGTTTAACTCCTTTTGTTTGCTTTGTATTGCTAGCAAGTCTGGGGTGGCCTCCAGGTATTATCTACTAGCCTGGCTGCAGCAGAAGCAAGGGTCCTTGGCCAAAGCCAGCAGCAAAAGTAAAACTGGTCAGCTCAACTAGCCTGACCAAGCATACCCTGCTGTGATCTGCCTAGAGCAGCCTACAACTACCATGTCCATTAGCTAGTTCTTTGTAATAAAAGGGAATAATACTCCAACATTTTTGAACATCAATGAATGAACACTCTCACTACCACTGTCCTGCCCCCACTGCCTGGCCTCTCTGTAAAGGAAGTAGGCACAGTAACAAGTAAGTAGTTTTTTAAATGGGGTGCTGCTGCTCAATTCACAAAAGTTATGGGGGGTGCTTCAGGTCAAACGGGGAGTGCCCTGAATCTAAAAAAGTTGAGAACAACTGGTCTAAGCTTTGTGCTCGCACCATCTGACAAAGATATTGTAAGTGAAATGCTGAAGCTTGGCTCTAAAAGACTATGACAATTTTCAACTTCCAGTGAATGTCATGGGTGTCAGGCTGCTCTGTACCTCATGGAAATGAACCCTAATTCAAAATGCTCCTTTTACCTTTGCACTTTCCGGATATTCCTCAGGAGCTCGGTGAAGCAAGACATGGCCTTTGTTTGGAATGTTTAAGTACAGACAGTTGGCTGCTGCATCATCAGGTATTGTCAATTTGTCGTACCGATGGTCACTCATCTGCTGCATAGTCTGTTGAGAGAAGTGGAGTAGAGCTATTTTAGAACAAAGATGTTACATTTTGAAGGTAAATGTGAAAACACAAGCCTTGAAAATCTAGCCAATCATGATTCAAACCAAGAGTTATTTCATTCCATAATGAGCACAATATGTTTAAGTCTGTACTTCAAGTAGAGGACCTACTGGTTATCAAGTATAAATGTTAATAAACTCAGATTTAGACCTTGAAAACCTCTGTAAATGGTGGAATAACTAAACAGAAACTTTCCATGCCTCCTTACCATGCCCTCAAAAAGACCTAGTCAGCAAGGTTTTTTCTGTAAGAATTACAAGGTTTCCCTTAGATACTGAACATCAAAAAACTCCTAATCATGTCAGTGTCAGCTACCAGTGTTAACCATCCTCAAAAATGTGGTCATTACTAGAGTCTGCAGAAAGAAAGTGCATTAGACTATTATATACAGAAAAAGAACAGTCTTCAATGTGTGTGCGCAAGGGGGGGCGCATTCAGTGCAGCCCTTCCCCTGTCTCTCTTTTAGCATTTCCATTAAGCACATGGGCTGGAGGAGGGAGAGGGCGCACCTGAGTACAGGGGACTCTGTGAGATTGCTAGAGCTGATAACAGCTTGGAACTTTGGTTTGGTTGCTTATAAATGTAGGGATCATGTGAAAAAATTTAGAGTCCCATGGACTTCATGGGGCTTCGAGCCAAAGTTCTGATTTAGGCTATATGTGAAATATTAGTGACAGAAAAAATAATTTGGAGACAGCAAACTTGATCCACCACTGCCATACTGGTGCACACCAACACAGAACTAGAAGACTACAGCAGTGAACAAAGCCCAAATCAAACAGCCCCAAACTTTGGCTCTACTCAAAAAACCTAAGTAAGCTTAAACTTCTAAAATAGCCCCTCTGCATTCCTGTGTTACAAAACCTCTGCCTTTTCCGTTGCCTCTGAGTACAGTCTTGATCTTCCTGGTCTGGAGTCAGCAAAAGACTCAGGTCTTGAGAGAGGCTATGGAGGGAGACACTCAGTGCAGCTCCTCCATCAGCATCTGAGTTTAGGATGTGCAATCAGGAGCAAGTGGGCAGGGCATGGTTGGGAACGTATACTTCTCCAGGTGGCAAGGGCAGTGTATATTGATAAACAGAGATGGGACTGATAAACAGAGACTGCAAAGATACAGTGACCCTGTGATGATTTAGAAGGAAAATAATCTCTCCTTAAATTAGGGGTAGGAAACATTTTTGGCTGGAGTGCAGAAAAGAACGCAATGTCTACCTTGTAAGGTGCCAGAGTGCCGGCATACCAGAAAAACAAAACCGGGGTGCGGGCTACGTGGCAGAACACACTGCTTATTAATATAGTTAATAATCATAAATGTTGCTTCAAAAAATTTTTTTACAGTACATACCAAGTTTCCTAAAAATTCTAAACCTTGTAACAATAAATAAAACTTCATATACTACCTTTGTTTTTGTATATTCTCTTTTTGTTAAGCATGTTGTGATGAGAGGGGGAGGGAAAAAAGAGAAAGGGGAGAAAAAAAGGAAAAGGAGAAAGAGAGTGTCCCCCTTGCTGCCCAAGTCTCCCAGCGCTATTGGCTGTGGCTCAGGCCCACTGGTCCAGGGCAGTGTCTGGCGGAAGGAGGCAGTGACACCCCAGCAGCAGCTGCTAGGCCTGGGGTGCTCAGGCCTCCCTGACAGTCCTGGAGCAGGGGGAGCCCAGGCCCAGGGTTGGGAAGGAGAGCCTGGCCAGGGCTACGGCAGACAGACGCCCTGTCCCACCTGGGTGGGGGCAGCACCGGGACACTAAACGCCAGAGCTGGGAGCTTGAGGCAGGGTCAGACCAGCCCAGCCAGGCCCTTGGGAAGGTGGTAGCCGGAGGACAGCAAGGGCTGGGTGAGAAGTGGGGGCTGCCTTGGGGCTCTGTGGGGATGGGCTGCATCTGCTCTGCCTGCAAGGGGATGCCACCTGTCTGGGGCAGGTTGCTGGGCTCGGGGGGGCTCCTGGCTTGGCCTCCCTGTGTGCCGGGCAAAATGTGAGTGAGGCAGAGCCACCCTCACTGCAGGGGTCCGGCTGCAGGAGTCGCCCGGAACAGGTACTGTGTGTGGCGCTCTGGGCTGAGCCAGCCGGGAGCCTCCAGCACAGTGGCCCTCTGCAGCACCTGCCTGGGCCCTGGCCCACCCACACCTCCCCTCCAGAAGCCATGCCAGGCTGGGGTGTGCAGCCTGGGGCCAGGGTCAGCAGAACGTAGACAGCATCCCTGCCTGCATGCTCTTGACTCTGCCCCCAGTGCCTGTCATGGTGCTGGGACCTGTGGCTGCTCCAGACAGCCTGGAGTAGCAACTTTAAAAAAAAAAAATTATATTTTTTTTAAAAACAATTTCTTCTCACACCTCCTGGTGTGCTAAGGAAAATGTCTTTGTGTGCCACTAACTGGCACGCATGCCAGGGGTTGCCTATCCCTGCCTTAAATTATTTCCAGGCAGGTCATTTGAGCAAAGATGTTGGGCCAAATTCTGTTCTCATATCTACTGGTATAAAACCAGAGTGACTGTACTGACTTCAGATTTATGCTACTCTCATCAGGAGCAGAGTTTGGCCCCTTAGGTCTAGCTGACTTTACGCCTGAACAATGTGTGAGGTCAGATTTATTCCAGTAGGTTAATGTAAAATGCCTTCTGAGTTGAATCACAGACAGGATCTACAGCGTACTAATAAGAAACAAAGCATTTTGACTTCTGCACACACCTCTAATAACAGGTCCTTTAAATGTCTGAATACACTTTTCACATTGTAATCTGATTCATACATATCCTGTGGAGAATATTAAACTGACGTAGAGAGTGTCATGCATTCCTGAGGAAATACTATCAGATCCTCACATTTTGTTTTTCTGATTTTCCAAGGTCACATCTACCTCCATAAAAGAGCTAAGAGGTTTTGTGAAACACAAAAACAAAGAAATTCCAGCATCTTTCTTTTACCAGATGCATTTCTGTGCTTGCATTCATTGTCTTTACTTTCCTATTGCTGGTCTGAATTCACCTGCCCAAGCCCAAGTAGGAAAGGATCATAGGAAAGTAGGGCTAGAAGAGACCTCACGAAATCATTTACTGCAGTCCCCTGTTCAGGGCAGAATCATTCTGAACTAAATCATCTCAGTCAAATGTCTGTCTAACCTGCTCTTGAAAACTTCCAGGGCTGGAGATTTCACAACTTCTCTAGGTAGCCTGTTCCAGTTCTTAACCACCCTCAGAGTCAGAAAGTTCTTGCTGTCTCCAACCTAAATTTCTTCTGCTGCAGTTTGAGGCCATTTCTCCTAGTTATGTCCCCTACAACCACAGAGAAAAGTCTATCTTCATCCTCTCTGTAATCTCCCTTCAGATATTTGAAGACTGTTATCAAATCCCGCCCTCAGTCTTCTCTTCACTAGACTAAATGGTCCTAGTTCTTTCAGTCTTTCCTTCTAAACCCTGCTTCCAAGGTTTCTAATAATTTTTCTTGCTCAACAGGAGTCTCTATCTGCAGTCAGCGGGACAACTTGTGGTGGTTACCACTTTCTCCAGTAGTAGAAGCCTATAGAATCAGGATTTTAGATATTTGATTCAGTTTCTCCTCTTTTCTTTGTTAATTGATTTTACAAGCCCTATTTCAAGAAGTATATATTTTACTAAGCCTATACTTCACTATAGGTATCAGTGGGCATGCCTACAACACAAGATGCTTTACTGCCCAGTAAGCTTAATGCAAACTAACAGCATGTGTAGATGTGCCCATTGTAGAACAGGCCAGTGCCTTGATTTAGTTCAGATTTGTGACGATGGTGTTTTCCATTCTTGTATTGTAATTACAAAATTGCAGTTTTGCTGTAGTAATAGCTCATCTCTCAGGAATGTATCCTGATTCACTGTGCAGTACATTCTTAAGTTACAAAACAGTACTTATGTCCTAAACAGAAGGAGACCTACCTTTAGTAATAGAGAAGGTCCTAACTGTAGTCATAATAGATAAAAGCCAGACATAGGAAGTGTGTGAGATGATAAAACAAATATATTGGGTTGATTCCTCTCAAGATGAAAGAGGACAGAAGTGTCAGTTGTATTAATCCAAATACAGCAAAGAAAAAAAAGTGCAGTTAACTAGAGATAACAAGAGCAAGCATCAAAGACGGCAGCTGTGATGGCGAGAATTGAATTTTAAATCAGCTAGTTCTTAAAAAAGGACAAAATAATATGCCACATCCTAGTTACTTGGCCTTTCACCAAGATAGGCAGATACAGCAAAATCTTTGTTACCCTGCTTCCCCGGGGTAAAGAGATTACTGGTTATGTAAAAATTCCTGTTATCTGAAATAACCTGACAGGGTTTCTAGATAACACAGAGCCAGGGGGAGAGGGGTGGTGACTACATGTGGAGCGGCAACAGCACAGTGTGGTGGGTCATGGCAGTGGCCACTGCGTGCAAGCTTTCCCCTGCCCCTGCCTCCAACCAGCTGGTCAGAAATTCCGGTTAACAGAATTTCCAGTTACTTAAATGCTGGATAACAAAGATTTTACTGTAGATAGATACCACCCCCCCGATCTATACATAGATACCATGTACACACACACACACACACACACACACACGCGCGCGCGCGCGCGCGCACACTTTGGTTAGTCTACAAGATGCAAATCTACCCTGCCTTCTTTTGGAGATGCACATGTGTGCATGCACATACATACACACACACATTCTAGGATACAAAGTAACTCCTCCCCAAGGTCTTATATTCAAGTGGTTTATATGGCCCAGGAACAAGTGTCTTCACTCTACAGCATCTAAATAGCTTCTCTCTAGCCTTATTCTTACTTACTGGAGAATCAAGAGAACTCACTTCATTCACTTCAAAGTAGACTGTTACTACTCAACGACTGAGCTAAGAAGAGTTTGGTCAGACTATCCATGTATAGACTGCTTCTTTCTAGGCTTCCACTTCATGCACAATGAAAACTTCAAGTTAG